CTATTTTCCATCATCAACATTCCATATAAACTCAGAAGACTCGTGTAGGTTCACTGGTGGTTCTGGATAGTAAATAAAATGTCTATATTAGTGTTGTAGTCATGGTGACCCCTGGTTCCTGTCACCACCATTGTAAAGACATCTGAACCATTTCACACCAAACCACTCTGTTTGTTGAATCACTCTGTTTACATCTGAAACATTTAATTATGCACAAATTCTGAAATATCAGTGGAGTTCCACTTACAGTAACATTACAGTGACAAAGCATAAGATGTTTAGTGTAAACAGCAAAGCTTCCTGTACATATCTGACTCTCCTTTAACAGATTATGAAGAAGGACAGTGGTAAATTAACTGCTGTTGAGCTGCTCCTCCAGTTTTAAACCTAAACGTCCTTGAGTTGTGGATATGAACTCTAGCAGAGCTGCAATAAGAGTCGAGCCTCTGCGTGTCGTCTCTAAGATCGTACCTGCTGGTGATCTTCCTCAAATGCTTCACCTGCTGTCGTCTTGTCCGCAGATTTCAAGGATGCGTTCCAGCTGTTTGACAGAACGCCAACCAACGAGATGAAGATCACTTACGCTCAGTGTGGAGATGTCATCAGAGCGCTGGGACAGAACCCCACCAACGCTGAGGTCATGTTCGTCCTTGGAAAGCCCAAAGCTGAAGGTGAGCTGCTTTCTTTCACAGGCTTTCTGTCAGATCGGCTTCATTTCTGTCACATTATGCTGAAGAGCAGCATTAATAACACTATACGACACATTCATAAGCCTTCACTGACAACTGACATAAACATAAAGACACATTCTAAAGGCTTATTTCAATTAGGCTGATGTCTTTTAACCTTGTGAAGTGTTATGGCAACTGACACTTGTTGGAATACGTCATGCAGTGTTATGACATGTCATGAAAGGCTTTTGTACACTCTTAAAAACGATAGTCCTTCAATGGTTCTTTAGGAAAGAAAATGTTTTTTTATAGAATCATGAACAACTAAAGAACGCTTTACGTGATTAAAGGGTCTTTTGGCATCATGAAAGGGTTCTTCAGATTGATTGAAAACGTGAATGAATGTGCTGTAGATGGTTCTATATATAATCTTTTTGAAAAGGGTTCTATGTAGCACCAAAAAGGATTACAATGTCAAGCTTGAACCAAAAGATGAGCGCTTTTTGGTGCCTTTTTCAAAAAGGTTCTATATCGAACCACTTTCTTTACAAAAGAGCCCTTGAAAAAACATCTTTTGGGTTCTATGTAGCACCCAAAAGAGTTCTTCTATTGATACAAGCTTGACATCATAACAATAAAAGAACCCTTTTGGGTGCTATATAGAACCGTTTTCAAAAAAGATTCTATATAGAACCATCCACATTCTCCATCAATCTGAAGAACCCTTTCCTAATGCAAACGACCCTTTAATCATACAAAGGGTTCTTTGGTTGTTCATGGTTTTATATAGAACCATTTTCTTTATGACAGAGGCCTTGAAAAAACATATTTGGGGTTCTGTGTAGCACCCAAAAGAGTACTTATATATAGTTACAAGCTTGACATCATAACAATTAAAGAAACCCTTTTGGGTGCTATATAGAACCTTTTTCAATCTGAACAACCCTTTAATCATGCACAGGATTCTTTGGTTGTTCATGGTTCTATGAAGAACCATTTTCTTTCCTAAAGAACCACTGAAGGACCATCTTTTTTTAAGTGTACATAAGCCTTTCATGATCAGTGACATAAATTTATATAAGTTCTAATTATGACTTCAATAGGCGTTTATATTGGTTCCCAGTCTAATCTATGGGGCTCCATGCTAAACATGTATGTCATTAATGTAATGTAGATTAAATGAATGCAGATGCTGTTTGGTTGGTTTAAGACGTGATGAATTTTATTCATGTTTTTTTGACTGACTGTGTTATTACTCTGTTACTACACTGCATGGCGAGTGAAATCGTCTTCAGTCTAGTCGCTATACGTAACATTTCTTATAAGATATAAGCTTATTTAATCTATTTCTAGACATTTTTACCTGCTTTAAATGATGTTATCTTGTGAAATGGTCTTATTTGAAATCCCTGTCTCACGCACCTTCTTCTCTGCTCAGAGATGAATGTCAAGATGCTGGACTTCGACCAGTTCCTGCCTAGGTTCCAGTTCATCTGCAAGGCCAAAGGTCGCGGCACCTTTGAGGACTTCGTGGAGGGTCTGAGGGTCTTCGATAAGGAGGGAAACGGCACAGTGATGGGGGCTGAGCTCCGACACGTCCTCGCCACACTGGGTATGACTCACCGCACCAGTGTTACTGTCATAAACTTTAACCTGACACTGAAATTATTTTGAAAAATTACATGAGCTCAAATAAAATACTACTATACCGTTATTAAGATTAAGGCATATTATACAATGACTACTATGATTTTTTCAGTACCTGCTATGAATTATTCAGTAACTACTAAGAATTATTTAGTGACCATTTTTAGTTATTCAGTATCTACTATGAATTATTCAGTATCTACTATGAATTATTCAGTACTTATTATGAAGTATTCAGTATCGACTATGAATTATTCAGTAACTACTAAGAATTATTAAGTGTCTATTATGAATTAATCAGTAACCACTATTAATTTATCACACTGTATTAATAATTCTGTAAATACTACATTTTCTACTATCAATGATTCAGTATCTAATATGAATTGTTTACTATCAACTATGAATTATTCAGTAACCACTATTATTTTTCAACACTGAGTTAATTATCCAGTAACTACTACATTTTTAGTACAATTTTTCTACAACGAGTTGTTCAGTGTCTACTATGAATGATCCCATATCGACTTTCAAACTAATTAATGTTATATTGTTGTAGTTACCACTGTAGATGTATGTCTATCATTAAAGCAACAGTCCAGCGTTGGTGCCCAAAACCATATTTTTCCAGTTGTCATAGTTTTCAAACAACACTGGTGCTTTTTGTGAAATTTGATTTCATATTTTGTGAATTACAAATAATTATGTTAACATTTTTCCATAAAATTATGAAATGATTTACCTCTTGGGTTGAAAGCTAGTTTTCAGTCAGGATTAGTTTAAGTCTCCGGTGTTCCTCTGTATAAGATAAAGATGGAAAGTGATGATGTACTAAAATGCAGCACTATCACACAAGATTGGAGCAGGAAAGCAGTGCCAGAACAGTTTTATCATGACATGGACAAAAGCACAACATAGAAGTGCAAAGGAGGCACATTTTACACGTCTTTTAGATGCAATTTATAAACCCTCTGAGAATTGCGCTGTCCCTTTAACACTCCTTAAACTTCCATGCTGAGCGAGTTCTGCTGTTGTGTTCAGGTGAGAAGATGAAGGAGGACGAGGTGGAGCAGCTAATGGCCGGGCAGGAAGACGCTAACGGCTGCATCAACTACGAGGGTGAGTGTCGCTGCCTGCCTGCTGATGCTTTAGCATCACAGTGTAGAGCTGAAAATCTGTGAACCACTCAGCCTTGAGCAATCTCAGATTTCACTTAGACTTATTAGATAGATAGATTAGATAGATTAGATTTATTTTGTTACAGTACAAAATGATGTTCAAATGTTTCACGATTGAATCCGAATTTGCATCTGCCAAACGCCATGAATGTAAATGCAAATATAACTGTTGACACAGTAAATACAATAAAAGGCTTTCTTTGGATTTATATACTTGAAAACAGTCTGAGAGTTTTATTTTGGCCAAATAATTATTTCAATTTGCATATTATTAATATTATTATTATTATATTATTATTATTATTATCATCTATGTTTAGATTATTGTTGGTCTAAAATGATAATTGATTCCAAAATAGCTGTACCTAAATTACAACCTTTACACTGCTAATGCGAATTATCTAGGGTTAGGGTTAACATGTAACATAATGTATGTGGTGTATTTTTGTATCATTGTTTCTATTTTTTACAGTGTTTTTCTCATTGTCCTAAGTATTTTTACCCATATGTACTGTAATTCTCACTCCAGGTGGGAGATAATTGCCCAATTTAATCTCTAAAATCACACTTTTTTAAGTGTACTGCACTTTTCTACAGTGTAAGTTGAGATATAAACGTCTCAGAGTGTCTCAGTGTGTCTCAGAGTGTGTGTGTCTCAACTGAGCTGAGGGGTTGATCAGCTGTAGATGGAGCTGTTCTTCACTCACAGCAGCTCTACAGCTCATTTTCTCTGGTTGCTTTTTGAGCTCAGTGTTGAACTCTGGCTGTGTTTTTTCTCTCTGCAGCGTTTGTGAAGCACATCATGGCTGGCTGAGCAGGTACAGCAGATCTCCACACTTCTGCATCCCATAATATATTTTATAACCTACATTTTATCCATGTAGTTATACTACTATTTATACATTAACATTTAATTTAATATTTAGAATTAAGATTTACTACATTATTATTAATATTAAGCTTATTAATAACATAATTATAAATTACATTTTACATTTATTATTGATTATATTTTATTAATTATTATTATTTTATAATTCATATTCATTTCACACATATATTTATTTAATTTGTATTTTATTGTATACAAACAAATATAAAGATTTACTGAATATATATTTACATTGTATGAGAACATGTACATAACATTTCAGCTGTAGTGTTTAATTTGTATTTAAATGAACAATTTACATTTTTAAATTTTTTTCTTCACAGAATCAAGACTGCCATCTGACGACGCAAAGTGTTGTCACAGCTTCACCCTCTTCTTTCTCTTCCTCTTTCCTTTTTCTCTTCTTTACTCTTTTATTTATAAAACATGTCCTCCACTGGCCTCTCTCTGTCCACCGACTATGACCACTTCTCAGACGCTCTCATTCTCCTTTCCTTTTTCTAAAAACCTGTACAGCCAAAAAAAACTGTATGACTGTATTGTATGTCATCACTGTTTCGTTTTGTGGATCAAAAAAACATAAAAAAAGGTTTAATTAAACTTCATGCTTGATTAAAATGGCCTCTTTACCGTCATTTTCATAGGGGAGTTTCTGTAGAAGGTGCAGTGCGCCAGCTCTCCCAGCTGGTTTGAGTTTGGAGGAACAGTGCGAGGTTCCTCATGAGAACGTGGCTCTTTCATGTGTTTTCTCTGAGAGCTGCGGTCCGCAGCGTCGGGCAAATCCAGCCGGCCTGCCCAGAGGTGACATCATCAGAGGTGCTGCTGAGCGCTGTCTTATGTGGTCGTTGGCACTCTGGGCATGAAAATGCATGAGGGCATAAATTAGGCTCTTTTGGACGGAGGACCGGTTATAATGGTCGCTTCCCAGAACCCAACTTTAACTTCAAAAATGGACACAAGACCTCAGCAAACTCCAACATCTGCCACAGAGCCTCATTTAGATGCAGTTCAGTGTACACGCAGAGAACGACACGTATGATCTACAGCTGAACAGCAGACCTGCTGGTACTGTTACTGCAGGGAAATGACGACTGCAGTAGAAATAAAGGTGACTTGAGTAGAAATACAAAATTAGCAGCTCAAAAATCTTCTTAAGTACTGAGAATATAGAACTGCAGTAGAACTTCTTAGTCCCTCCAGCATCTACCAGCTTTAGAACTGACGTTTAGGCTCCATTCCTTTTGGAATCCCTTTGGTCCAAAATAAAAGGCTAAATCTCCAAAGTCAGAGCAGTGATCAACAGTAAAGCAGAACAACAGAATAAATAAAACAGCAAAATTTAAAAAAGGAACTAATAAGAAGAAGAATGAGAAGAATATAGTAAGTAAGTATAACAAGAATGAACTGTTTCATTCTGGCTTCCAGAAATATCATAGCTGAGAGTCAGCGCTGGCTCGGGTGCTCAGTGTTTTTCTGGTTGCCTCAGGTTGTGGAAAAGTCTCTCTTCTGGTGCTGCTGGATTTGAGTGCAGCTTTCACCACAAAGTTGACCATCATATTTTAACAGACAGACTTAAAAACACAGTTTAGGCCTTACTTGACAGATCGCTACCCATTTGTCAGTGTAAATGAGTTTTCTGAACATAGGAAAGTGCAATATGGTGTCCCACAAGGTTCCGTTTTAGGGACCCTACCATTCTCGCTTTATTTACAGGCCCTGGGATACACACTTCTAAAATGATGGTTCTTCAAGGGTTCTTTAATAAAATAATGGTTCTACCTTTGCATGATTAAAGCGTTCTTTGTATCATGAAAGGGTTCTTTGCATATGAAGGGTTCTTAAGATTGATGGAGAATCTGTTGAATATGGTCTTATATAGAACTTTTTTGAAAAGGGTTCTATATAGCACCAAAAGGGTTCTTCTATTATTACAAGATTGACATCGAAACAATAGCAGAACCCTTTTTGGTGCTATATAGAACCCTTTTCAAATAGACTCAATGTAGAACCTTATTCAACACATTCTCCATCAATCTGAAGAACTCTTTCATGATTGAAAGAACCCTTTAGTCATGCAGAGAGTTCTTTGAGCATTTATGGTTCTAGGTAGAATCATTATCTTCACCAAAGTACCCTTGAAGAACCATAATTTTTAAGTGCGTACATAATCCGGAAGCACAATTCTGCCTTTCACTTTAAAGATAATGATACTCAGTTATGCGCACCAACTCGGTCAGAATCAAAGGCACAGTTGCACATAATGGAAGACCGTATTAAAGACATAATATAAATATATAATTAAATAAATGTTAATTACAAAAATGGTGTTTAGAGACGGAGAAGGAATGGATTCCTTTCCTCACTAATATACTTGGGCAGAAGTAAAAGTACTGTAATTTAAAAATTAAAAATAAAGTTTTAGTGTTTTCTTTCAACCAAAATGGGGCTAAGTAGTCTTTGTTTGGTTTTATTTCTCGGTTATTTTGGTGCATGAGGTGTAATAATTTCAAGTCTAAGACAGATGTCGGTTAAATAACTCATATGTTCAAATTTGCATTATCAACAAAATCAAATGAGAATTAAACCTTTAAAGCAGTCTCTTTGTTTGCTCAGGTGAACTCAACATTGAACTCAAATTCAGGTGCACCACACAGTCAAAGAGTGTATGCACTGACACCAGCACCCCCTAGAGGCCTGAGTGGTGCACTTCATTAAAGCCTTACCCCTCTTTGCCTGCAGAAGGAGCAGACACAAGGGCAAATTTAAATAAATTAACCGAATTAACTATAACAAAAGCAAAGGTTTGAACACGACCTGGTCAAATTCCATGTTTTGTTGATCTTCTAAGTGTAAATAAATGAACACATCCTCTACAGAGAACATACTTCTGCACATTTTACATATACATTCCTGTATGTGGCTCATACAGTACAAATCCATCACAAGTAAACATGACACAGTTACTACACACCTCTGATAACTAGTGCAATACAAGAAGATACAATCTCTTAAATCACCAACGATAATCCCAGACCCAAATGAAGCCTAAACCCAGACTAAATAGGATTCTTCATGGTTACAAACACCACTGCTGTTGCTATTTAGTCAAAGACAAGACTTAACCCACCTCCACTGCATTGATAAAGCTTGAAGAAATTCTAAAATTTAGGGGAGCTTTTCTACCAGAGCTTTTGTAATGTAGCCTATTCAGCAAACACACCAGCAGAGGGAGCCATTTTACAATGTAGATCATTTTCAATGTGACTGCAGTTTAACTCTATATCATTGAGAAAATATACAATTTAAATCACAGCACATATTAAATAAAATATATAAAACAGTATATTAGCCAAAAATGAAAAAGAACAGAAAATAAGTTTCTACCAGAGCTTTTGTAATGTAGCCTATTCAGCAAACACACCAGCAGAGGGAGCCATTTTACAATGTAGATCATTTTCAATGTGACTGCAGTTTAACTCTATATCATTGAGAAAATATACAATTTAAATCACAGCACATATTAACAGTTACTGTGAAATATTCTCCAAACACATAATCAAAAAGCCAACTAATCCTTATCAATAGTACAATGATGATAATATATATGATATGTATCCCATGCATTTGTCTTCTCTAATATAAATGTGTACTATTTTTATTTTAAGCAGAAATACTTTCCTGTACATGTTCAGTTTGAATAAGTTGTACACTGCACATTGTATTCAGCGCGTAGCCCAGGGGTGGGCAGTGCCATCCTGGAAAGAAGCATGGCCGCCCTTCTGGCCACCACAGTTATGGAAAAGATGGTCATCCGTCAACAATAAAGCCTCAATTACGCTTTATGGTGGAATCAGGGTAGTTACCAATCAGTTATGAGAGTCTGATGGTGCTGCATTTAATAATTAGCGTATCTTGCTAACAGGCAAGTAAATGTGTGCTTGGTCCTCTGTCTTTCAGTTCATTTTGGCAGTAGCTGTGTTGATGTAAGTGATGACCAAGGCATCACTTTTTTATGTCTTTTTAATACAGAAACACTATATTATTTCGTTTTTTCTAGCTGTGTGCCCTCACAATAAAATCTCTGGGTCTCATCTGGTCTCTGCATCCTATAAGTTGTAACTTCGTCCCTGATTTTATTCTTTAAATTCAACAATAAATAAATAAATAAATAAATAAATAAATAAATGAATGAATGAATGAATGAATGAAAAAAAAAAAACATAGTTCTTTGCTCTGCAGCTTTCGGAAAAGTGCAACGCCCGGCTTAGCCAATCATATCAGACCTGGTAAGTTTTAAACCAATCAAATCAGACATGGGGGCGGGACTCTGCTGCTACGCGCTCTGCAGTCGTCAGTTAGCAACCGCTAAAGCTCTGACAGGATTTTGGCTGAAAGCTAACGGCTAAAATTCACTAAAATAATTAATTAAATAATTTAGCCTCATTAAAACGAATTAATAACATCCAGAATGAAACAGTAAGTAGTTTCAGACTAAGGTTTGCCAACCTACATTACGGATTTATGGCTAATTATAGTCAATATAGCTGAGTTTTTACCCGGTTGCTTGTAGCTGAGTTAGCTAACTTTATGTTTCGCTGAGGTAAATAAAAAGGGGAAGGCTAACACTGAGACTAGCTGACTGAGGAGATAACTAGATTATGAAGTTTAAGACTCTTAGTGAAAGTGTGAAGGAGCAAAAGAAACAGAAATAGCGTTATTTACACTCCATTATATATTATTATTTGGAAACAGTCACACCAGGAGTTATTATCTGTATACTGTTGTTCACAGTAAGGTCATAACAGTGAAAAGGCCACTCAGTGTTGATCATAATGCCATTTTATATCTCTCAGTTCCTCAGCCTGTAGATGGAAACTAAGAGATGGCAGCTCCGTAGAAGGCCAGTCAGGTGAGAAGATTTTTTTTTTTTTAATTCATAAAATAAACACATAAACGAATAAAAATGTAACTGACTAATCTCTCAATAAGTCTTTGCCTCTAAATCAGTGTTTAATTAAAAAATAATAATAATAACGTTACTAAACACAGGTGAGGAGATGAATTGGGAAGCTGAATGAGACTGACAGGGCTGGAGGAGCAGATCTGATGGAGGTTAGTGATGAAGAAGAAGGTGAGCTGTTTAAGATGTCAGTTAAAATTAATACTGAATTTGTAAAAGTTATTCTCTGAATAAATCCTCATTTGTGAGAAAATTTAAAAAAAGGTTAAAGAAAAAAAGAAAAGTTCAAGTGGATTTTTTTTGCATAATTAATAATAAATGCTAAAGAAATAAACAGAGTCATTCGGAGTGGTTTAGTGTGAAACGTTCTGTTCTGCGGTCAGAATTGTTCACGGTGGTGATAGGAGCCAGATGTCCACCTCTAAAAGCTCCCTCACAGAAAGTTACTACATTAAATGGTTATGAATTCACTGCCTGACGTCTGAGACACTGTTTTATGATAGTTTTGAGAAGTTTTTGGTTAAAATATGTATATTTTTTGTCATTTTTATGGCGGAGGGATACATGCAGGGCATTGCGAGGCAAAATAGTCCCCAAAGAAAAATTATTTCAGATTTTCCACTATTTCCATCATCAACATTCAATATAAAGCTCAGAAGACTCGTGTAGGTTCACTGGTGGTTCTGGATGGTAAATAAAATGTCTATATTTGTGTTGTAGTCGTGGTGACCCCTGGTTCCTATCACCACCACTGTAAAGACATCTGAACCATTTCACACCAAACCACTCTGAATCACTGTGTTCACATCTGAAATGCTCAATTATGGAGGA